AACAAAACGTAAGCATCAACTGTGCCAAAATGGTTACTTCTACAGCAAACGCACCAAATTCCAACACCCCATGAAAAAAAAATACAAAATGCTGCTGCCACAGAATCAGGATTCAGAGTCCTTTACAACATGAAACACAAGAGATTTATATTCATACATCTCCGTTCTTAAGGATGCAGTTCTTTAAAAATTAAACTCTCCAGGATAAATAAAAATACCAGGAGAATCTCATTTGCTTTCAGGTTCTGTAGGGCTTTCCCAGATATGCCTGATGTGATGCCAGATATGCCTGATATGCTCTCCTACACTGCCCCTAGAAGCCTGCCCTGAGAAGTAGTGGTCACCACCCTGCACTGAGGACTGTTTTGTTCTCAGTTTTCTTTCTGTCACAAAATCAAAAGCATGAGAGATAGCAAAGACCTATAGGGTTGTTTAGTCTGTCCTCTGCTAGAGCACCACTGTTCCCCACAGCTTATTCACTATTGCTTGGTTCAATTTAGAGGTGGGTATGTACACAGAGAAAGTGATGGGGATTCCCTTACAGGAGACTATTGTGTCACAGTCTGAAAGGCTACTGATTGCACACTCCAAAATACATTGCTGTTTTTTGAGGTTCAGCTTTTCCTTTTTTCCTAGCTCGCATCAGATGAGATCTCTGCAGATGATGATTATGGGCCTGTGCCCATGAAAGATGAAGCCCCTTCGTCTACCACAGAGGTCAGGATCTGGCCCTGCACTACCACTATACAACATTTGCATGGAGATTTTTCTTCTCCTCCTTGCCAGCTGGCATTTCCTTTTGGTATAAGGGGAGAGCAAAGGGGGAAGCTATTTACAAGACTTGCAAGAAGCAAACAAAACTATCTTTTCTGTTGCATCCCTGAAAGGATTGAGTGGTGCTTCTGTAATGCCCGTGGTATTGTTTCTCGTCAGTGAGTTGCGGGTATTGAAATCTCCAGTTTTATTCCTAGCTCTCTGGAAATGAAATCTTTTCTCAACCTACGTGGTTACAACCCGTGTGCGTGTGTGTGTGTGTGTGTGTTGGGGGTAAGATTACAGGTTATTAAAGCCCATTCAAATTCATAAATACATTTTTTGTGACGGAAAAAGCCTGTTTCTTGCCACGTGCTTTACTGTACTCAAGGGAGTCACCTGTGAGAAGACAGTCATCCTTATCACTGTTCTTTTGAGGTTAATGTATGACCTTGGGACAGCCCTGACACTGGGCATGCTTGCCACCTGCAGAGCCCTGTACATTCAATGTCTTTTACAAACAATGGCGAATTCAGGTTCCCAACACCCCTGCTTGAAGGGAAGACATGAAACTGTTCTCATCCTAGGCCCTGTGGTTGGTGTGCTAGATCACACTGCCTCGACCCTCCAGACAGCCTTGGTGCATACCTGGTTCAGACACATCCTCCTTGCACTCCCGCAGTGTTTGTGATCACTAATGCTGGGTTAACTATTCTGTTTCTATGCTGAATTCCATCTGTAGATTGGCCTTTTGTAAATGCTCCCTACCCAAGCTCATCGACTTGATTCCTGTCCCTGAAGCCACCCAAGCTACATTCAGGGCCAATCATTTGTACATACTGCGTCTCATTTGTATATACATTCACCTAATTGTTTTTGTTAAAGAGGTAACAAAAGCCCAGATCCTTTCTGGACAGATGATCAGGAAATGCTTGTTGGCCAAGCTCACCAGCAATGAAATCCTGCAGCTCAGCTGGTCTGTTCTCACTCTGCAGCTACAGGGAAAAAATTACAGAAGGTTTCATGGACTCAAAGGATCATGTTACCTCATGAAAGGTTACAGTGCTATCAGAGAGAAGTACCAGACTGGGGCAATACTTCTAGGATGATCCAGTAAACCAAGTGCTGCAAGACTAACCCTGGATACCCCTGAAGCAACACAGTCCCACTGGCCCTCTCATAGCTGCCTTTACACACGGTCTCCTGCTTCACTAATGCATCTGTTTCCAGAACCACAGTTCTCATGTGTGAAGCCTGCTGTGGTCTCCCACCTCTTTAGTTAGCAGAGCTTATTCTTCCAGTCCTGGCAGGTCTCTGAATATGGCCTAATGATTCATGAGGTCAAGGGAGAGGGAGGCCATGAGCTGCTTTCCTTCCTGCTGTTTTATGCAGAAACAGGGGAAAAAGCAAAATGTTTTATGCCTTTCTGGTCCCACCACTGAAGGACGCTGGAGGCAGGGGCTGTGCTCTGAATGACAGAGCATGCAAGGAATAGTGTAGAGGGGCAAAGAAACAGCGCAGAAGTGGCTAGTGGTGTCTTCTGGGTCTCTGAGGCCCTCCAGCTTGCACAGGTACTCTCTCTCCTTAAAGGATCTCTTCTCTTTTGAGATCTTGTTACCCACTTCATGCCATAAAACAGTCTTACTATAGTCCTGATCCAAAGCCCATTGGAATTAAAGGAAGCATACCCATTGAAATCAAAGGGTACTTGAAAGGATGAAAACTTCCTTTTCCAGTACGAAGCCAGAGGCTGAAATAATGTAAATCAGCAGTGCTCTGTCACAGTCAATGGAACTACTGTGATTTATACAAACTGTGGATCTGACCCGTGGTCTTTAGCTAAACTCCCTTACCCAGTGCCTCAGGATGCTGGTGTGATATTGAAGCAAGAGATTTTAGGGTGGTGAACACAGGACTGCAAGCCAGAAATTCCCTGATTCTGTTCCCAGCTCTCTTATGAGTTTCCTGAGGGATCACTGGCAGGTTTCTAAATGCTAGCCCCCCACCATGCCTCAGCACTTCTATCTGCAAAATGGGGATCAGACTCTTTTCCCTCAGGAAAGTCACAAGGCTGAATCATTTGCAAAAGTGCTAGGAGAATATGAATGTGCTTGTTGTTATGATACACAGCAACTGGTCTGCATTTTGGATTCCCCCCAACCCTGAGAACATCTCCTCTGACAATGGGTATTTTCCCCTCTGCACCCCTCGAGATGCTGTGGGATTCTGGCTGGCTGGTGACCAGGTTATTTTTCCTTCCGCTGAAATATTCAGCTCTTCTCGTGCTTGCCATGACAGGGTACCCAAGTGCACCAAAAGAGAAAGAATTATAAATTTCTCCAGTCACAACAAAAGCTGACTCAGACCCATCAGAGATCCCTCCTGATCTTTCAGCCTAGCTTTGGCTTCTTCTACAAAGCCCATCACCAAAGTATCCAGGTGCCTTTGTGTTCAACAGCCTCATCTCACAGAAATGGATTTACATCAAAATCACAAGGCAAAATACCTGTGTCAATCACAAAGCAATGTTCCCAAACCCATTATCTCCCGCTGACAGCACGTATTACTGGAATGGGACCCGATCCTTGCCTGTGTAAATCAATATCGCTGCACTGTTTTCAACAGCACAATGCCATTTTACACCAGATATGGCACAGTGTGTTTCCCCTCAAGGCAGCCCTGGAGCTTAGCTTAGTACGAGTGGTACTTACTTTCAGAGAATAGGCCAAGGCGATGAAGCCGAGACAGCAGAAGTTGAGGTATACGAAGTTGAAGATGGACCAGAGATAGTAATCGTTCACTTCTGTGGTGTCTGGGTAAATCTCAATCACTGTGGTGGGGTTCGTCATTGTCTTCTTCTCCACTGAGTGCTTGCACTGGACCGCTGGCCGCAGGCTGTCCCCTTTGCAGCCCTTGTTCTCCATAAGGTAAACAGCAGAAGAAGGAGACAGGACAGGCGAAGCTGCCTGTATGGCAGGGGGCTTGGAAATGCAAGTGAAACACCCCCGGTGGGGGATGTTCGTGGGTCTCTGGGTCCAGAACGCCCCCTCAAAGGGACATGGAGGGCCCAAGGGGGGTTCTTGTGTTTTCTCCGTGGTGGCTGCCGTGAATTCACAAAACTGTATCCTGGCAAAGTGAAATTTTCTGTGACAGACAGAGGTGGGGGGAGGGGTGGCAAGTGATGGGGATGGAAAAAGGGAAGGGGATTTGGGAGAAGGGATGGAAAAAGGGAAACAGAAGGGGCCAACAGAGGGAGAAACCAGAGAAGGGGGACAGAGGAGAAGGGAAAGGGAGTAGGTAGAGAAGAGGGAGGATGGCAGAAAGGAAAGGGGAGGAGAGAATACTATTTACACTCATGTACCACAAAGGAGCTTTCTCCTGCACACCGAGCAGTCTTTCATGCATGCAGCAGATTAACAGTTCCCTGTCTCCATGCAGCTGGGTGTCCCAGCTCCTGCAGTATGCTCTCCCTCCCTCCCTCCTCCTCCCACCCCATCCCTCCACACACACACACGCGCACACACACACACACGCACACCAGCCCTACTAGAGTTCAGTAAAACACTGGGAAAGGGGAAGGAGCTTTAAACATCCATCACCCTCTTCCTTTCCCTCTCTCCCTCAATCTCTCTCATTCCCATGCTCCTGCGTTATTGCCAAAGTCCTTTGCTGTAGCACCTGGTGAGAACATATGGGTTTGTTTCCTCACTTGGCACTGCACACACATACACACACGCATGCATGCACACGTACGCGTACAGATACATACAGATATGCATAACCTGTGTGCCCGTTCCCCCCCTCCCCCCCGCAAGAAAACCCCGGCTGAAATGGAGGAAGGAGGCTGATTTTAGTATTTGGAAGAAAAAAAGAAAGAAAGAAAGAAAAGAAGGGGAAAGAGAAAAGGAATGAAACACTTCTGAAGAAGCATGTGTGCGTGTTTATATGCATGGGGAGGGGTTGGAAGGGAAGGAGAATGAAGAGAGATCCCAAACAGATGCTGTGCCAAGGGTACCCTCCCCCACCCCCTCGTCCAACCCTTCCCGTCTGCCTGTCCATCTGTCCACCAGGGCCTTCCTGCTCCCTGTCCCATTCTGGGATCAAAGCTGGTTGCTGGGGGCAGGTGGAGCGGCTGTCCATCTCTACGGAGGAGCCTGCCTAGCAGCTGCGGCAGAACAGCCCCGGCTCCTCTCTCAATCTCTCTCTCTCTCTCTCTCTCTCTCTCTCTGGGTTTTATTTTGCTGAGTCCTCATCTCTGTGGGATTCCTGATGTAATTGAATTTCCCATTTTCTTTTACCTGTCAGCAGCTTCTCCCGTTCGGACAACGCTGTGGTCAGAAAGGAGGAGGAAGAGAGGCTGAGAACAGGGGATGGTGAAGGGGATGCGAGAAGAGGCTGTCTCCTTCTCTCCCCCCCCATTAGCTGTGTAATTAGAGAAACGGTCTGCCTCTAGCCACCCGCACGTCTGTCCATCCGTCTCCTCGGGAAGCAGAGAGAGAGATACTCACAAGGAGGAATGCAGAGACTTGCTGCATATCTGTCTCCGCACTGTCTCCGGCTCTTCTTTCTTAATAACTGGAGTTGGTGGAGGAGGGAAGGGAGAGCACGCGCGCGCGCGCGTGTGTGTGTGTGTGGAGGGGGGAAGAGGTCAACTGCCCCCCTCCCCGAAACACACAGTACAAGGTGCACGTGCTCATTATAGCCATTGGGCAGCACAGCTCTACTTTACTTCAGCTGCCGATGCCCTTTCCTCGTGCCCTCCTGGCCTCCTGCCGCATATGTGAGTGCAACCTTCTGGTTCAAATGTCTTAGTACTTACCTGCTGGAAAGCACATCTTCCAGGCACACAGATCCATGGAGCGGGCATTGGCGGTGGTGGGTTACAGGCTCTTGATCGGAAGATTGGCTTGGAAACATAGCAGCAGCAGCAGCCACAGATGTATTTACATTGGGATCTATGCAGCCTTAACTGAGGAGTTGCTGCGGAGGCCTGGATGCTATAAATTGAAAATAAAAATACCATAAAGGGTTGGCTGATTCCCCTGCCAGTCTAAATGCAAGCAGGATGAGAATAATAGAGCAGTGGTATTCAGCGAGGAGTGCAGGGCTGTGAGGAGGAAAATGGTGTTTGTGCTCTGGTCAGGGGGAATGGATAGAAATTAGACAGTTCAGAGAGAATCAAAACAGCAGAAGTACGCCCAGGCTAGCAGGAACTGGAAGCACACAAGAAGAAGTACTCTGTGTTGCTGAGATGGGGGATGTAGGGATGTCACTAAGCATAAAAAGAGCTTGGGAGCACTGGGATCTGGGTCTCGTTTCTCTCAGCCCTGGGTATTGGCATGGATTTGACAAAATGGCTCCCACCTCCAGTTGCCGCTTGTCACAAATGTTACGCCGAGACAGCAAGGATATCTATCAGGTGTTGGTACAACTGCATAGCCAAAGGAGTTGTGTGTCAGCTAGTGACTTTCAGCTCATCCCAGAGGGCATAGCCATAGTGGTGGTGGGTTGAGGTCTTCTCACGTCACTCTGCAATTAATGGATTTAGATCTGGTGCAGATAATCTTGGAGTAGGGTGCCTGTACACATGCTGGGAGGCTGCTCTGACACACTGTGTCTGCTGGATGAGTCTGCTGGAGCGTGCTAACTGGTGCACTCCAGCCAGCCTCCATGTATCATGTATCAGCATCCCCATGCTTTGAAAATGGTGGCAGGGCACTTTAACTAAAGCTTGTTCAAATCAAATCATAGAATCATAGAAGTCAGGTGGGAAGGGACCTTG